TTTTTCGTATACAATGATACCTATCATTGCATTCAAATTTAATACCATCCATTACAGTAACCTACTGTACAGCAGAGCGAAATCCACGAATTACCCGCTTTTTTTAAAATTAATATCGATAAAAATTTATTTATTGGGTAAAAAATCTTAAAAATTTAATACAAGGCTCCTAACACATTGTTACAATAGCAGTTGAAAAATATTAAAAATACATATGTACCTACGTGTTTTTTGTAATCAGCATTTAAAGTTCAAATTTTGACTAAATACGTAAAAATTACGGCAATTTTCAAATTATTATATTGTATTAGATAGAAATTYAGACGAAAATTCGCAAATTATTTTAAATTAGAAAATTCATAAAAAAATTTCTTTTTAAATCTAAGATTTGAAAATTTTTAATGATATCTATAATACACCTAAACAGATAAACCGTCTCCACTCAGAATCGTTTTTCGTATACAATGATATAATATCATTGGATTCAAATTGAATTCCATCCATTACAATAACCTACTGTACAGTAGAGYGACATTCACGACTTAYCCGCTTTTTTAAACTCGTAATAATGAAACACATATTATACCTATAATAAATATTTGAACCTACCCTCTTTTGACTATTTTGAGATATTGAGATGTACAAGTAGCCATCGATTAAATATAAACGGATATAAAAATGATGTAAAGATCAAATTATATAAACACTTACAGGCGGCTTCGAAATTTTAAAGTTCGGTTAAATTGTTTTCATATTAGGCAAATTCTTCCTCTCTTTTGTAGGTGAATCTAGGTTAGAATGAAATATATTTTCAAGTAGATAGTTCTCAAAAATAGGTACACAATATTTGTAGTAAATAGGTAGTAGTGATAGTACAAAACTGTTATGGAAAAATTCAATCAAAAACATGAATTTCTTCTTAAATATTGCATAGACATAAAATATTTGTAAATAGGAAATTGTTTAAAAAAAAAAAAAAGATTAAACTAAGCCAACATTTTGTGCCAGTTCTCAACTTGTGGAAAACTGATATAACATAACATTTTGTTAGTAAATATTAAACTAATTATATTTTAATTAATTATCAAAATTAAATGCGGAATAAAATTTAAATTGCTTTTATGCTTTATTAAAATATTAAAATAATATACAATAATGTATTATTTAATGTGTAGACCGTACAATATAAATTAAATATATATTTTTACCTATATCGTAGTTCTATAACCATGTAATCAGATAATGAATGAAATTACATTTTACTTTATCTACATCCTGTGCCTAGTGCTGAATATTATAATTTATACCTAACTATGAGTTATGACTAAATAACTTTAATTTAATTTGACCTCATACTTTTTGTCATTGTCCTATAAAAGTCTCTAGAATTTATTTTTATAGAAATGAGGGTAAATCATTTCATAGATATTGATTGCATTTTACTTATCAAGTACCTATGTTTCATTTTACCATATTTTACTTGGTCAGATTTTACTTATTTCCAGATTAATGTAAAAAAAGCGGGTAAGTCGTGGATGTCGCTCTGCTGTACAGTAGGTTACTGTAATGGATGGGATTAAATTTGAATGCAATGATAGGTATCATTGTATACGAAAAACGATTCTGAACGGAGATGATTTGTCAGTCTAGGATATATTATATTTAAATATTGTCATATATTCTATTTTGAAACAAATATTTGATTTTTCAATTAAGACGCATTTTGCATAAGGCATATAAAAGAGATATCTGATCAATGATAATTTATATTAATATGATTTTTTATTTTTATTCTATTTTTTTGGAAAAGTGAATTTATAAACAGAAATAGTTCAAAGCACCTTGTTTTGAGATACAACTTATACAAGTACTCAACACCAAATATAAGAATTTCTTATCCCTCCTTAAAAGTATTAACACTCGCCATCACAAGATTTTTATTTTTATTAGGAAAAATACATACACACACTATACCAAATGTTGAGAAATATTGTTATAATTTATGTTTATTCATACTGTACACAATACCCAAATAATTTTAATTGTTTGAAGAACATTTAATAATAGAAAAAGGATTATTGACATGTCTTAAAACATTTTGTAGTGTTTATAAATATAAATTAATTCATTAAAATTTTAAATCTTTATCCATAACTACAAATGATGGGACTAATGTTTCATTGTACTCTGCTGGGTTCAAGTAATCTCGTTCAGTGACTGTGTCAAGAGTGTCATTAAGTACTTCAGCATGTAAATTCGATGACTTCAAAATCGGTAGACGCCCAACACTTTCAAACACTTTTTGTTCCATAGCTAAACGTAGTGGCATGTGCATTCCTTGTGTGATCATCAAGCCTTTAACAAGAGTTCTATTTTCTTTTGCATTGTACTGAAACACAAAAATAAGCTCTTAGTCATACTAATTATATAAATACAATACAATAGTTTTATTAAAAATAGAGTGACAGAATGGAGGCGCATTGATTTTAATTTATAAGTATTCTGAGAAAAATATACGTTGGCATACTAAGTTGCACAATGCATACATACAAAATACTGATTAATCAGTACCTAGTAATAACACTAATAATTTATTGAATTTAAAATGGATTATGTATTGAGATTGAATGAACTCAATTATGTCTGATCATGGAATCAAAGTTGACTTATTTAAAAATAATACTATTTATTCATAACCTAGGTTGTTTACATATTGAATACTAGAGCCAGGTTGTGAATACATAATATCCTTAACCTCTTCCCACCCGAAAATAATATGTTTCTTGACAGGGATCAATCATCAGGTATCAAAAATAAGTATATAAATTATCCGAATCTAACTGTTATTATTATTGTATCCTACTTGCACATTATATAGTGATATTTTTTTTGTCCTAAATATTATATTTCAATGATTCATACTTTATCCAGCAAGATAACACCCAGATTCCGAGAATTTCCACTCTAAAACTGTCATAAAGATTGATTCCACTATGGGCTATGGTAATGTGTTGTGGGTTTCACGGAAGAATAGAGATTTTTAAACGATGTAATAAAGTAGAAATAAAAAATTGTACAAAAACTGTTTGTTTGATCAGTTTTAACAAAAGAATTTTGTATGTAGAGTGTACTTACATTTCTCAAGTTTTGTTGAACAGGATGATAAATTTCTTTGAAATTCTTTGGCCTGGCAGTGTGAGCCCTAAAATTATGTAATATGTTAATTAATAAGATATTCACTAGTAAGAATAATTTTAATGATATAATTTATAATATAACTTACCCCAAGATGGCATAATTACCGAAAGTATTATCGATGGCATCCTAAAAACAATTTATAATCATACAATAGATTGTATACAACATAGTTAAAACAATGAATTAATTCTTATAAATAAAATTAACTTACCATGTTTATTATGTTTTGAAAAATTGGTTGAAATAATGTTCGACGTTGTCCGTCAAGTAAATTAAGAGAATTATTTAAATTTTTTTCTAAATTCAAACTTGATACAAATGTTAGCAACTGAAGAAAAGGTTACTTGCAATTTTAGATGAATGATGATATAACATAAACAATACAATGAATATGACATTTAAAAATTTTAAATGATAACCTGAAAAGTTGATATGAATTTTTCAGTGTGACCATTTTTGTATTATATAATAATGTAGCATTGTGGCTGTACAATACAATTGTAGTTGCAGTTCTAATAAATAGATGTCGCCCTGTATTTAGTTTTTAATTATCCGCATAACTTAGTTTTTCATCGAGATTTTACACAACCAATATATTATAGACATATTATTGACTATTGTTCAGTTCAGTTATTATTTTTCTGGGTAATTTTCAAACGAGTACCTATTATAGTTGATTATTAGTTATAATTGTATAAGTTCATATTAATTTGTAATTAAATGAAGTAGAGTAGCGGATTAGTAGCCCACTGATCAAGTACTCGTAGCTCGTAGCTCGTAGTGTAATACTACTTCACTCCGCTGGTCATAAACTTTAAACACTACACTTATCTAAATAGTATAGGCCTTAAAGCCTATAACTAATTAACTAAAGGTTTACTTGTTCGAAATCAATTTTATAAATCAAATTTWAAAAAAAAAAATCAAGKGTCAGAATCTTTTTTAAAACTCGAAAAAATATGGTATAATATATAAATAAATATTTTTTTGTAAATAATGTAGTTTTTTTTATGTCTTCAAAGTATGTAAGATTTATTTTTCAAAAATTTTGGTAATTTTCAAGATACTGGATGTTTACTATATAAAGAATCAGCCAGTATATTATTATAATTTTGTTAAGTAGATACTATTAAATATTATCTTTGTTTTTTATGCGTTTTGTAAATAAAAGTTTTAATGCATTAAGCTGGTTGTTTTTATAATATAAATTTAAACAAAAAAAACTGTGTTGTAAAATTTTTGTTACCCACAATATGTGTTATAATTATTACAGTACTCTGTATATTATATCATAATGTGAAACATTTTCACCCGTCACTCGACACTTAGTTGTCCTGCAGGCAAAGTTACTCGTTCACCCGTACCCTTAGGATTTATAAGAGAACATAATATAATAACGGTCACATTTATGACAAATGTTACTCATCATTAATCTTCATTTAAATTTTAAATTTGTTGCTCATATTTTTCTAAACCGAAAAATAAATATAAAACCTTTTTTATTTATTTATTATGAATAAATCAAATGCAGTAAATGCACCAATAATTAAAGTAAATTATACAAATTGTATAGCGTTTAAATTATTCCACTTCTTATATGCCTGACATCATGTGTAAATAATAATATTTAAAAAAAAATCTATTTGACAAATTTATAATAGGTGTAAATAAAGAATAAGTACCTATACAAACAATATAATAATAACGATTAACATATATTTTTTTAAATAAGGTGCGCTAAATTTTTGTTCTTTTAATAAATCTTATACATCTCAATAAAAGATTTATTAAAAGAACAATGAAAAGAATCATGAATCATGAATGAATAATTAATGAAGAAGTTTAATTGTAATATATTTAATTGTTATATACTAAATATATAATTACATTACTATACAATATGTTTGGTTTAAATTAGCTATATAGGTTGTAATTGGTATTAGGTTTTATTGTGTTCGTGGTGTACCTACCTACCTATATAAAATAAAGTTTTAATCAGTATTTAAAAATTCATGATTTTAATTTTAATTTATATTTAATACACAGAGGCCAAGAAAGTGTCTGAATTAATTGAGATAATCACTAAATGATGCGGTGAATCGATCAGGAACGAAGGTAGGTACCTACCTATTACGGATTAATGTAATATGTAAATGATAAACCACCTTGAGGAACTTCTACATTTATACATGCTATTTTAGACATAGCATACCAGATTTTAAATTATTGATCTATTATCTATAAGATATCTACAGTTCGAKCAGTAGGATAAGGTTTTCAGTTTATATATTATATGTAAACTCTTAAGTCTTAAGGAATAGCTTGAGAAATATCTATAAAATACAAAATTAGATAAGTATATTCAAACAGTGGTACTAACAATCAAGCTATTTATATTTAACACGATTACTTACCTATATTTACTAATTTAGTATGATATATTAAACACCTTCTCTTACATAATCACAAATTCACCGCTGATTAAATGGAAACTGGTCTAAAGATCTCCTAAAGTAGGGGAAAACATTTTTCTGAGGTTCTGATAATGAACGGTTTCCTCTTCATGTTATTTATTTTTGTATATTTTCTATGTTATCCGTATTACTTATTGTTTTTTATAGTAAACAGATTGAATATATTTAWATAGAAAAATGTATGATATTCCTGATAAAATTAAACATTTCGATAATAATCGGATGTAAATTAATTTCCTATTAAAATCCAAYGTGGACCCCTCCTTCATCTTTTGAATGAAATTCTGTATTATAAATGTTTAATGTAGGTTATATCTTGTAAATGTGTATGTGTTTTAATTGTTATAGGAGGGCACACTCCATTTAATCTTAATAAATAAATAAACAAATAAATACCTATAACAACCATACGTTGTAGACTTATAATATTAATCTTACTGGATAAATAATTTTTACCTATTTACCAACACATCCGCTGAAAAATGTTAATAGGTTCAAATATACCTCCTCAAATTGATATAACGACTTTTTATTGCACCACCTATTGAGTTCGTAATCGGCGTTACTCACTGTTTAGATAATAATATAATGTTTTGGAAGATCGTAATTAGATGCTAAAAAAAAGTATCAATATTTTATACTGTGATACTTTTTTAAGTAAAATGTACCGATAGTACCTATACTTGGTATATAATATAATGTATTAATAATCATATGAAATGTTTACACTTCTAATATAGCAAATAATATATTATATAACATTTGATTTTATACCTACTAAGAAAAAATATAATAAATTGTTGTAATTTCGTTTATTTCAATCGTATTTTATAGCCGCATTGGTAGTAAAAATGTTAACCCTCCAGGAAAACAAGCGTATATAATACAACAGTTGTAGTATATTGTACAGTATGTGCACTGTGCAGYTGATATGGTTAAAAAATATATATATATTTCCAAAAAGTCCATAATTTTATATAAATCCTTCGCTTACTTAGTTTCTTGGATTTATTCGACGTACAAAGATTTAACTACTCAAAGTAATGTGTTTATATATTATACACAAGCTATTTTCTCTGTACCTACATTTGACATAATATGGCAGTCATATATACATGATATAGTGAGTCCAGTAAAGTAGGTATACCTACCTATGCAATAAAGTTGGGTTATTGCAAAATTTAAAACAAACGATTTAACTTTAACCTTCATAATATATAGTATATCATAATCTWYATWATATGATGCATGCAACTATAAGTTTATTTTTTTAATTAAAATTAATTAAGTTTATTAATTATTTAAATAATACTTGTAATAATGATTTGAAAAATTATTTCATTTCACKGCAGACGTATATTTACATAGGTACCTATACTTATGAACCTTTCATCAGATGACGATTAATTTATGATTAAGTCAAAACAACCAACTAAGTAATTCAAAATGTTAAACCCTATACAGGCACTGACCAATCACATACTATAATATACTATAACTATACATATCGGTGTAATTTCTATTGGAGTCCGGAAGCTTAAAAYAATAAATAAATGAGGTCCAGTAAAAAAAAAATGTATTTCAAATGTTCATATTTTTAAAATGGTAATATGAAGACAAAACAATTTTAAGACATGTTGACGGTCCTATTTTCTTCCTTTCTACACGGTCCGCGGATTCGGATCGCGGTGCTCCAGTTGCCGACCGTTATTGCTATACGGAATAGTTTACTAAATCAATCCTTTAYTTGAATTTTGAATATATTAAAAGACCATATATTTTTCAATTATCCACTTAGATATTTTGTTGTATCATTGAAAAAGAGTTCTTATAATAAAGTAAATAGTAATAGTCCGATATGTTATTAGTTTCAATGAGGTGGGGTAATTGGGGTAACACAAGTAAACGCAATTTGATTATCAGTGTTTCTTTTGTGCGAATATAACAAACATTCGTTATGATTTTTATTTCAGTTCAGAAAATGTTATAGCTCTTAGTATATCTATGATTGCTACCTCTGACAGTAAAATACAGTAGAATACACAAAAGAATGATCGCTCGGTATTTTAAAAGAACAGAAAATCTTATAGCTTCGTTCTACCGTGAGTGAAGATCAACCATTGTTGTGTGTTTGATGATTGATGGGCGTTCATTGTCCGTGGATTGACAGWATTAATGACAGTTTTACGCATAAGATACCATAAATAAAATAGGATATTTTAAGTTTTAAAATAATCCACTTTATAGAACTAATATTAATCATACACATAGACCTAATATTGTTACTAGGTACCTACTAATTATTAAAACAATGAATAGTTAGCATGCTAATATTAATTTACTTAAATTAAAATTTTTTATTTTATTTTTTTTTACCTACCTACTTGTCATTGTGAAACGAATACATAGGTATACGTCATGCTTAAGAAAAACAAGAACTTTTTACTATGAAAAAACGTCATAATAATAATTAAAATTAATCCTGCATACTATAATATTACTAAACAGTATTTACTCACTAATTAGAAGTATCATACACCAATTTACCTATAATAAAACTTTTATAGTTTAAATTTATGCAATTTATWAMCTTATACAATACCTATAGGCTATAATATGTATACACACAAGGCACAACACACATTAAACACATTCACAATATAGGTACTAGTATTATATGATATAACTATATAATAGTATTGACCGTTTGCAAGAACCGTATGTATAAAAAGCATGTCTTACTTCATCCACCTCGGCGCAGGATAGTGATGTATTATAATGATTGTATTAATTAATGCTATAGGTACATTTGCATACATTTTCATAGGTACTTAAAATTGTCCTGAGCAGTGCTTAGTTTAAAATAACATATAATGATATTATGATATACCTACCTATTA